AAATTTTGAGTAGGATAAAATAACTTCTCATAAACTTGGAGGTTAAATCAAACTTGTCCTGTGTTTGGAGGAAATTTAATAATAATAATAATAATAATAATAATAATAAATTATAGGCATTTCCTGAAATATATACCATAGATGGTGGTATGCCAGTTTTATTTTTGTCTAGTACTCTTTTGCTTCCATTTGGTCAACTGTTCTTTAAATTTTGACTTAATTTAAATTACCTACTTGACCTTATTGCCTTAATCATGTTTAACTTGGTGAAATAAATTTCGGTTGACTTAGCTGAGCGACTCGAAGGGCAAAGGCCGAGGAGTAATGTTCACAATTTGTCTCATCTCGTGCGTTCTATTTTTAAAACGTTTTAAACACGAAAGCAGATTGCTTTTATAAAATCCTATAAACTTGAGAGTCTATATTACTTAATAATTTGATATATGTTGCAAATGAAACAGCCATGTTATCCTTATTCTTATACTTATACCTATTTTAAGCTACTTTTAAAGTAAAAAGGGAAAAAAAAAACTATCGTATTTTACCCATAGAAATAGATATAAATGTGTACAATAAATAATACAATAATATTGCTTGTGATTAGAAATTTTACGTTTCTCATATAAGTCACGTTTAATTTTGTAAATGAAAAAGTTAGCTGATATATAGAGAGAGAGCTTTACTATCTTACGAGTACACCTAAATTCAAAATAATCCAGACTTGATGTCTTTCAATTATTAAGGGAAACAGAAACCCAAAAGATATTGGAATATTAAAACCGTGAAAAAATGATGTTTTTAACGAGAAAATAACACAAGCTAATATAGAACAATATATATAAAAGCTGCTTTTATTCATAGTGATAATAGCGACATAAATCACCACAAGAGTTACATGTTTATGTCAACAGCTTAAGCACTAGATCAAATTGCACTACTTGTTGCCCTTATTCGCAGCATGGAGATGACCGAAATAGCCTTGAGGGTTGCTCTCAAATGCTCCACGTGAAATGTAAGCTCCATCGCCACCAGGGGCTTTCATTTGTCCCCCAGAACCACTGCCACTTGAGCCATAGCTAGAGTTTCCACTACCACCGCCTTGAGCACCACCACCTCCACCACCTTTGCTGGCACCACCACCACCATTGCCACCCATGTCTCAAATTAATGATCACAACAGACACTTTCTAATTTAGAAATAATAGTGTTTTGGAAATTCAAAGGAAATGGATGCAAAGTACTTTGGTTGGTTAGCTATTTATAGAAGAGAAATGGTAAAGATCTGTTCATTGTTTAAAAGTGAATTTACTTACTCTTAATTAATGATGATAGGAATTATTAAAATGCCTCCCATAATTCCCAACGAATGCTTGAATCCATGCAGTGACCAGGTAAATTTTCAAATATGCATTTAACTGGAGCTTCAATTTTCAAGTTTCAACGGCATGACCTATGCATATGATTTTCTCAATATATTTCTCAAACTTCCCATGGGATAAACTTAGCATAAATGGCCGGACCCGGAAGTAGCATAAACAGCATATGCACACACATTCACACATATGACCATTGTAAATATCTTAATGCATTTGACTGTGCTTCGATTTTCAATAATTTTAGTTTTCATGCACAGTTGTTTTCACTTCTCACTCATGTTCTTATTTACCAGGGCAGTCGTGACTGATGATGTTAAATGCATGCATAAGCATGCGTAGCTTGAATTCTCCAAGCACCGAAAAGATTGACAAAAAAAATAATACATATAATTTTTATAAATTTTTCAATAAATATTTATACAAAAAAAAATTAATGAAATAAAAAAAATTAAGTATTTCTTACTATAACTTGAAACAATCTCGTCACTACATTTTTTTTTCTTAAATTCTCCCATCATATTTCTTCACAAATACCTATAAATTGAACAAAACATTTTTCTTTAGAAAGGTACAAGAGTAGGGTTGAAAATATCCTCATAAACTTGTAATTAAGTTAATTCAAAGTTGTATTGTATTCGAAGGAAATTTAACAATATAATAAACGAAACAATAGACTGTTTCCTGAAATATATATCACAGATGGCAGTATGCCATACTTATTTTTCTCTAATATTATTTTGCTTCCTTGATCACCTGTTTTTTTTTAGATTTTGGCTTAATTTAAATTACTTTCTTGACCTTATTGCCTGTTTAACTTAGTGAACTCTTTACAAATAAATTTTTGTTCCCTCAACACTTAAAAGGGCTACACCGAGAAGTAATATTTATAATAATATTTATAATGTGTCACTTTTTCAAGTAATTACATTTGAGTTACGTAGGATTATTATGTACAGTAAATTTTTTTAAAATATTTAATAATTATATTTATTAATATTTAAATTTAAAATTATAAATTAAATTAGAATAACTGTACTAATTAATTTAGTAGTTTATGATCTCATCTTGCAAACTTTAATTTTAGAACACTTTAAATTTGAAAGCACGTTGCTTTTGTAAAATGCTCGACACTTGAGAGTATGTGTTATTAATATATTTTTTAAAAATATAAAAAATAAACATTCTTTTTAAATAAATTAATTGTAAATTTTTTACACTTCTATTTATTGTAAGATTTATGTTAATGAAATATTTATTTTACTCATAAAATTAGTATAATACATCAATTTAACCATTCAATATTATAAGTACTTCTAAAATAGGGTATAACTTATTACATTTATTTCTTGGTAGTTAGATATTTTTTTATAAATAAAATTAAAAGTAGTATTACTTATTAATTTGAAAACCCTAGTGTTCAGAAAGATCATGATGCATGCATGGGGTTATTCAGAATAATGAATTAGAAGTATTTTAACGATACGGATTTGAAAACCTTTGAAAAGAAATACTACTCTACATTTTATAAGAAACATGCATGAGGTTTTAATCAATAAAATGTGCCTAAATATAGGAGTATAAGATATTTTATACATATTATAAAAAATTAGTATTAAATATTTTTTTATAATTTTAAGATAATAAAATATTTTTATTTTTAACACGTATTCCTTTAAATATATTAAAAGAAATCATTTAAACAAAACAAATAAACCATGCAATATATGTTGCAAATGAAGCAGCGATGTTATCCTTAAATTATTTCCTATTTAAAGCTACTTTTAAAGTAAAAAAAAAGAAAAGAAAAGAAACTGTCTCACTTTACGCCATAAAAAAAAAAATATAAATGTACAATAAATAATACAATAATATTGTTTGTGATTATAAATTTTACGTTTCTGATATAAGTCAAGTTTAATTTTGTAAAAGTTAGCTGTTCTATATATAAAGAGAGCTTTACTATCTTAAAACGAGTACACCTAAATTCAAAATAATCCAGACTCTTTCAGAAACCCGAAAGATATTGGAATGTTAACACCGTGGAAAATGATGTCTTAAACGAGAAAATAACACAATAGAATATATAGAAGCTGCTTTTATTCATAGTGATAATAGTGACATAAAACACCAAAAGAGTTACATATTTATGTCAACAGCTTAAACACCGATTTGCACTACTTGTTGCCCTTATTCGCAGCGTGGAGATGACTGAAATAGCCTTGAGGGTTGCTCTCAAATGCTCCACGTGAAATGTAAGATCCATCCCCACCAGGGGCTTTCATTTGTCCCCCATAACCACTGCTACCTGAGGCATAGCTAGAGTTTCCACTCCCACCACCTCCACCACCTTTGCTAGCACCACCACCACCTGTGCCACCCATGTCTCAAATGATCACAACAGACACTTTCTAATTTAGAAATAACAGTGTTTTGGAAATTCAAAGGAAATGGATGCAAAGTACTTCGGTTGGTTAGCTATTTATAGAAGAGAAATGGTAAAGATCTGTTCATTGTTTAAGGATGAATTTACTTGCTCTTAACTTATGATGATAGGAATAATTAAAATGCTTCCCATTGTTCCCAACGAATGCTTGAATCCATGCAGTGACCAGGTAAATTTTCAAATGCCTTTAAGAGCTTCAATTTTCAAGTTTCAATGACATGACCTATGCATATAGCCGGTTTTCTCAATATATTTCATATTTTTCCCAAGGGATAAACTTGACATAAATCTTTTGTATCCTCTTTTAAAATTTTTTGGATTTTATAATATTTTGAAAAGAAATTTAAAGCACTTACATAAAAGGCTAATATTGTTAAATGGTTAGAGCAATTTCCATACGAGCACTATATTTATAGTTAGGCACAGGTAATAAAAAAAACTTTATCATATATCGCATTGCAAGTTTTATCATTGTTTTAATTGTTTTTTGCCAACTTTAATTTATTTAAACTTATCAATAAATAATTACAAAATAAAAATATTTTTTTTCAAAAGTTAAAGTTAATTTTTGTTCTTTATTTTTTTTACAGAAGTTCAATTATTTTCTACAAAATTAACATACATAAATTGATTTTAATTTTTAAAATTTTATTTATTTTACTTTCTTATTTTAATAAATATATTAATGAATTTATTCAAAATTTCAATATAACGCACTAAATTAAATTGAAAAAAATCAATTTTAATTCTTAAAATTATAAAGCTTCAATTCTTAAATATATAAAATATCATTTATTTTGATTTTTTCTTTCAAGTAATAGATCATTAAAGTATATAATACTTTTAAAGTCAACATGTAAAATAAAACTTTATGAAATTAAGGATTAATGCGATCTAATAGTTATAATCTTGAAGGTTAGCTTAAAAAAAAATAGTGTTTTTTGTTTCTTTTGAGTTTCTAATGATTTAAGATGAATTTTACAATCTCTCAACTAGTAGTTATTTTAAGCAATTTTTTTAACATGCATTGAGAAACATACAATAAAAATTCATATATAATAAGTTTCATTAAAATTATAAAATATTATAAAATCTGATACATTGATAATCATAATTTTTATATTTTTAATAATATTTTATTATTTATTAATTTGTATTATACACCTTTAAGTATTCATTAAAGAAAAACATATTTTAATAAAAGGGACAAAAGTATTTCCGAAGACAAAATGTAATCATTTTGAATTTGGCCACACATTAGTCATACACACGTGCCTACCTGCTTTAACATTCTATTCTATTAATTGCTACTTCGCCATTCATTCGACCCACAGCCCAACCAAGTCCACGCGTTGCTCGCTTTATTTTAAGTGAAAAATGGTTGAACGATTCTCTCAGTGTAATTTTCTTCTGAGAAAAAGCAAGAATCAAATGCAAAATTACCAAATATCTGTTCCAATTAAATCTCATTACATTCATTGTACCCAAACAATAAAAAATTAAAATTAAAATTGGCCATAATATCACACGCAAATCTGTTCTTTCTTCAAACGAATTTTGTACAAATTTAATGCTAGCGATCAATTCACCATACCTCTAATCAATTTTGAAGCATTATATGAATCTCTCTAACCCAATCTAAAATCTTTGGTTCATCAATTAAGGATCTTGCTCAGTATCTTTTTCATTTCACCTTGACCTAATAGGTTCCTCATTTATAGTCTCCAAAACAGGTTTCCTTGACCTACAATAACTTAACCTATATTGAAACCCTGATTCCACTCCGTCCAAACTCAACCTTGGGACTCCGTTATTCTTCTCACTCTCCGCCGCAGATTCCTCTTCCTGCCACGCTCCGCCGCCGTTTTCCGGCAATACACGCGCCTTTCCGGCCGTCAACCGCTTGGCGGCGGAGTTAGCCGCCAAGAAGAGCACCGCCATGTCAGCCGCCGTGACGACGGAGTTCACTCTCCTCATCGGAAAGAAGATATAGACGTTTCCGAATTCCAAGTCCTCGTCAGCACTGAGAGCAGAGAACCTTCGACCAATGTGCAGAGAGCGAGAATTGACCAAGAAATAGTTGGGTTGCTCCAGCATGAGCTCCGCAACGTTCACGATATCTCGGAATTGCTTCACTTCGCCGGTGGGCAAAATCACCCTCGCGGCCTTTGCGTTCTTCATCAGTGGTGGCGCCAAGGTGCATGAAACGTAGTTGCCCATTACGTGAAACTGATAAAAGATTCAACCTTTTTTTTTCTCGGAACAGAAGTTAAAATTATGCGTCGCGCAGTTGATGAGAGAAATAATGGAATTTGGAAGAGGTTTTGTTTTGTTTGTTGGGTGAGTTTGAAGGTGTGTGTCTGTATATATAGACGAGAAGAATAGTCAAATTCGATTAAGGGAATATAAAATATTCGAAATTGTTCTTTTACACTTCATTTCAAAGTGTAAAAGAGAAAGATAACATTGTAAAGTTTAAAAAGAGAAAGCCGAAGATAGAGAGAGAGAGACATTAAGGGAATGCAATAAATGATATCATAAAAATTAATTTGTATATATTATAAGGGTAAGAAAAATTGTTATCAATAATTTCAAATTAAAGTAGACTACAGAATGATTTTTATAGGATTTTTTTTTTGTAACTGAAGATACATAAAAAATAATAATTAAATTATAGTATCGATTAAAATTTCAGTATATGTCATTTAAAAAACGGATGTAAGAATTGTAAAATATTTGAGGGCGCACGTTGTTGGGAATTATCATGTGCGCGTGTGTGGCAGTGTGGGATATGTTGACCAGTGTGTCTTTGGCTGGATGAGACTTTGGAAATGCGCGTTTGGGTTAAGAGAGTGAGAAAACATTGGGAAGAATGTGCAAATGCAATGTTTGGTGACTGTTGGCCAAATTGGAAGATAGTTTAACTTTATGGCTGGCAATGGCATTCACACGCGGCTGAAAATTGAAATTTCGCCGTAAACACATACACTCAGCGCGTTGGACCCACGTAAGTCTTGCCGTCTCAAATAATAATAATTTTCTTTTCCATTTCTGTTGCACTGAAACTTCCAGCTACCTATATTAAACTTAAAGGAAATTTCTGTGACATGATTCTCTTAAAATTTATATTTGGAAACTTTTTTTAACTTATAAAAATGCATTCAATTTTTTATTTTATTTTCCAAACAATTTTATGCTATGTTGTTAATTTTTTAAGCTATATCTTTTATTTAAAAAATACTTTTAAAAGAAACGGAAATAACTATTGTTAGAACTATTTCAATTTATTGATGTACTAAAAAATAAATCTCAATTAAGTAATGGTACTGATAAATCAATTTAATTTTTTAATATAAAGAGCGATTACGAATAGAGTATAAACTACATATTAGGTGCATAAAAATAACAACAAAAATTTGAAGAAAAAAAAGAAAAAACTTTAAATTTGGTATAATTAAATCAAATTATACCATCAGTCATTGATCCTGATTAGCCATTAACGTAAAGAGTTGATTAATTTGATTGACAATTAATATCAATTAACCTCATCAACAAATTAATCTAAAAAGTGAAGAAAGACACAATTATTTTCTGAAAATAAATTCTTTTTTTTTAATTGTTGACTGCAAAAGATCAGGGGAAATACCTAAAAGAACATTTATTTTTAAGTTATAAAAGGAAAATAAAGAAAAGGAAGGAGAGAAAAAAACTGTTCTTTCATAATTGTTTGAGAAAAGAAAAATTACTCCACATAAATTACGTACGCCAAGTTTTAGTTATTTTCTTCAAATTTTATGTGTTTTATATTAGTTTAATAATAATTTAATTTAAGTTACTGTTTTTACGTTATGATTTAATTTCAGATTGTCATGTCTGGATGTTCGATAAACAATTAATTATACTAAATTTAATATATAGACACGCGAGTAGTGGTTGTCACTCGCTGCTTCAAAAGGCATCCATTGGGTAGTTAAAGTAGTTCTCTCCTTTTGCTAAAAAGAGAGGTTGGAAAAAATAATAGATTATATGACTGAAGATGATGGGAAAGGTAAAGTGAGAAGTTGCTGAATAAAGATGTGCTAATCAAGTGTGGAACAATTTTACAAAATGTGGAAAAGATATTTATGATTTGTTGAAAATTTAAACTCATGGGTTAAAAGTAACTTATTAACATAATTATGATTTGTGGAAAATATATTAAAAATCCGATTCATCCATTCATTTAAAAATTATCTAATTCATTGTTGATATTATTTTAAAGATTAATATCTCTAATTTATTCTTTTGAATTTTTTTTTTGTTTTTTTTGCTTGTTTCCTTCTAAATACTATTTTTCAGATCCGTTGCTATCATATAGATTTACTGGTTTAAAACATATAATAAATGGTTTATTAATCGTTTTATAATAATTATTAATCTAATTCGTCAAAAATTTTAAGTGCTTTTTCTTATAATTAGATGGATTAGCTAAAATTATGTATTATTAGATTGAATGATTAACGTATAGATGAAAAAAAAAATTGTTGCTCCTAAATTTTTAACCTAAAACAAATGTATATATTATTTTCTCAATTTTGAAAATTGTGCGTGCCATTAATATCAGGAGTGAAAACGAGATTAAATCTTTATTTAGTAGGAACTTGTTGAAAGTTAACAACTTATTTAATTGACTGGATTAAAATTATTAGTAAAATTAATTATACAATTAGTTGAATTGTATTTAAAATATTAATGATCCGAATACTTTAAAATGATATATGTATATTTTTCATAAAAAGAGGGAATAACATTAACAAGTATTCGTTATCGTTAGAAAGTCAACAACTGATTACTCTTCACACCGAAAACACATCACCATCCATCGGGGGATGAGGATGAGTAAACCAAATTAGGTGACGTGGGACTGTAAATGAAATCCTACTCGTGGATAATTTATGAATAAAAACTTGTGATGGATAAAAATACACATAATTGTGAATTTTTATGGGTTTAATTCAAAAAAAATATTTGTTTATTAATGGAATGAATGTGAGTATTAAAATATGAGTAATTGCGACTTGCGAGTGTCATCCCAGTCATAAGAGTCCCTTCTCAAAATATAGTTGAGAATCATTACACCCATCAAATGGACCATCACTTTTCTCATTCCAGGATACTCAAATACAAGACTCGAGTCGGCGACAAAAAATTAGTTTTTGGAACCAAAAAATGAAAAAGTAAATTTAAAATTAAGGATAATTTAAGAATGAAACAGTGTGAACAAAATAATACGGAGGTGAAAAAACATTTCTTTAATTTGAGTTATTATTTAAATTATAAACTTGACTTATAAAAAAATTTAAATTACTTCATTTATTTAAAGGAATCAAATTTAAAATCTATCTCTAACCAAATTAAATATTTCAAATTTTAAGATTAATTGAGCTTACTAATCTCTTTTATTAATTTAATATTTATTAGATATTTTTATGCTAAAAGATGAAGTAAAATAAATTACAAAAATAACTTTATATTAATAAAGATAACTTAAATTATAAATAAAATCCTTAAAAAGTTAATTTTAAAATTATATTCAAATCAAGGAGATTGTACCTTCGCACTGCACAGAAACATTTTATCCCAATAAAAAATATTTAGTATTTAAAATTTTTTTAAGTAAAATTCTCAAAACTATGTTTTTTAAAAATATATTTCTTAAATAACTTGTTACTCATGTTTGTTTATTAATTAATTTTTACATAATTTTTTTTCTTTTTATATTTAGTATTAAAAAAACTTTAAAAAATATTATTATTTTTACAAAAATATTCTTAACTTAAATATATATATAAATTTTTGCAAATATTGACAACAAAAATTAAATAAAGAAGAAGTATAGCAACTCTGATAAATAATAGCAATTGAGAGAAAAAAATAAAAAAATAAATTTTTTTTTAACAAAGAGTAGAAATAAAACAGCTATAAATGAAAATACCTAAGAAAGATTAGTGAAATAGAGAAAAATAAAATAAAAATAATTTAAAATTCGTAAAATGAAATGAGATAAATAAGAGTACTTTGTTCAAAAATTATAAATTCTCAAAAATATTTAAAGATACTTTCACCTATTGAGATAAAAAAATATAAATTTTAATTTTTTCATAATTAAAGTTTATTAAAAATCTTACATTTTTAGAAATAATTTTTTATATTTTATACCAAATATGGATTAAAAAAACTTTTTAATAACGCGATAAAGTTGATTCAAGATATCGAACACCCCTTTTCCTTTAATATAATGGCCTCGCGCGAGATAACTGCAATTTAGAGAAATCAGAGAGATCGAGGAAGCGGACTGTCATTTTGTGTTGGGCCAAATTACATTTTGTTTTGGTTAAATTTTTAAAATAATTGAGTTGTTGTTTTTCCCTTTAACAACTTTTTTTAATTTCAATTTTTAAATTAATTTTAAACATATAAAAATTATTTTTTATTATCTTAAAATTTTAAAAACATAATTAATTTTTTTATTAAAAACATATAATTCTGATATTAATTTTTAAAAAAAAGGGAAATTACTAAGGTAGTAATAGTATAGTAGTAGTAGTAGACTCGAGAGCAAGATGAGGGTGACAGGGGGGCATTCGCATCCATCGTCGCGTTCTTGAGAGATGAGCAATCCGAACGAAGAAGAAGGGTTATCCAAAGCTGCACGAGCAGCAGAAGATCTTTACCATCGCCGAGACACTTATTTCCCTCCCAATCCCGATCACAGAATCTCCGAGTTGCAACGCCATTCCGATCTCGCTCTCAAACTCCTCGATTCCATTCCCCCAGGTCAGTTTCTTCCCCTTTTCAATTCATTCAACATTTCAAATTCACCTTTCTCATCACTTTTCAATTTTATACGCCTATGCTTTAATTACCTATGTCAGAACAAAGAAAAACACCTTTGCAACGAGCAACATTTGAATATCTTAGAGGGAAGATGTTGGATGTATTTCCTGACTATCGGAAAGAAGCTGAGGATCATCTATCCAAAGCTGTAAGTAAGACTGAATTTTAGTTTCTTTTTTATTTAGTGTGTCTTTCTAGTAATGTTTAAGTGATTGATTTTTAATTGACTCATCCATGGTCCAGGTTAAGTTAAATCCATCTCTTGCAGATGCTTGGCTGTGTTTAGGAAATTGTATTTGGAAGAAAGGAGATTTAACTGCTGCAAAGAACTGCCTCAGTCTTGCATTAGAAAAGGTTAGCATCCAGAGTAGATTTCAACGACTTGCATAACTGATACTAAAATATCCTTTTCAAGATAATTTGAGCTTCGGTGGTTCTAAATTATGTTTTTGTTATGTTAGAGTGATATGAAGAATGGTTTAGCTACATGTTGAATTGTTTTGTTTTTTAAATGCTTTAAGTTATTTCACAGTGGCTATCCCGTTTCTTAAAGAGTTTGAGTAATGTATTCT